TGGGATTAGAGGTGTATGCCTGGCAATTTTATATGGAATATGCAGGACTGAATTCAAGTCCCCATCCTTGTATAGAGTGAAAAGCAATTTACCAAATAAGCCATCTCCTCAGCCCGACTCAAAATGTCTTTGTATCAGGAGTGATACATAGTCTCTTTCATTGACATTCCGCCAGAAAGAGTCATGTGTCCTCACCCAATACATAGGAATTTTGACCTGCCCACGTGCCTAGAAAGAAATCAGCATGGAGATTGGTGACTCTTAGCACTGGCTCTCTCACAGCGCGGTAAGATGAAACCAAGGGATGGTCCATAAATTTTGGTTGTCTGTGTTAGCCACTGCCTTTATCACGTATTTGAAGATATGTATTTCTAGGCACTATCACCGCATAGCAATGTACTCAGAAATTAATCAGCAGAAAACAACCATTTAATTAATTAAGCTAATGGATTCTATGTGGTCAGAATTCGAATCAGACACAAAGGAGTGCTCTTGTATCGGCTCCATGAGAGTCGACTCAAGAGCACAGACTACAGTCATTTAAAGGATTCCCATTCACAAGTCAGTCAGCTGATGCTAACCATTAGTGAGAACCTCAGCTGAGGTTGCTGACCACGAAGCTTCACATGGAGTCTCGTGTGGCCTCCACTTCTTCATAATATGGTGCCATCAGGGATGTCACAGTTCAGAGTGCCAGAAAGAAGGCAAAGTAGAGCAGCTGAACAGAGCTGTCACTCACAACATAGCCTCAATTGTTTCTTCTGCAGTCCCCTGGCTTAAAAATTACCAACTGGCTCACATTCAAGGATAAAGAACCTAGGTCTGCATCTCAGTGGAAGAATACTAAGCCACGGGTAAACGACCATATGGAGTGAAAGATAATATGGCATCTAGTCTCCCACATACATTACCTTAGATTAGCTGAATTTCCCTCTATGAAATGTTTTGTACTTTGTAGAAGAATGGTCAGCAAACCATGGCCTCATACCTGTTTTTATAAACAAAATTTTCTTTAAATATATCCATACCTACTCCTCAGCAGAATTGTATAGCTGCAAATGAGACCATATGTCCTGAAGAGGCAGCAACATTAATTATCAAACCTAGGAATCTGCAAACTCTATAGATAGAATATTGGTCAAGAATGTGGATGCTAAACCAGACTATTAGATTTCAAATGTCCTTTTTGAGACATGGTCTCATGTGTCCTAAGAAATTGTGATATTCCTACTCCTACCTCTTAAGTGTTGGGGTTATAAACCTGTACAACCACACCTGCTTTATCTATCGCTGAGTGTTGCACCCATGACTTTAAACACACTTGGCGAGCACCCTAAACTGAGCTCCATTCTCAGCTCTAGTTATGTGGTTTAGAACAAACCCTAGGCATCTCAAGTCTGCCATCTTCCAACCAATGTGACTGCAGAAATACTGAAGTCTGCCATTTGAGTTGTGCGCAGTAAGTGAAATAACCCATTGCAAGGATGCAATAGGCTATCTTGAATACTGACTTCTGTCCTCAGGATTACCTTTAAACATCAGCAGCATCAAGTGTCAATCAGGTTATATGTTTGGCTCCAAAATCTCATCTCCCACAGTTTTCAGTATATCTAGTGATACAGGGAGCCCATTTCATCTTTATCCATAGTACTAGAAATTTCTTCCTACAGCTGGCTTTTAATTTGTCTCTCATAGCTTGACACCATCAATCCTGGTAATATTTCCTTGAAGTTCTATAAAAACATCTCTTCCAGCTCTGCAGTTTTTTTAAATACATGACAAGGCTCCTCTGGGTTTTAGCTGCTCTTAACTACGAATACTCTGATCTTTCTACCCTTTATTTTTTGAGATCACCCTTACCCTTGGGGCAATTCTCTTCAAAAGTCTTTTTTTTTCCCCCAGAAATCAGCAAAATGTCTCAGAGCTGCACACAGAGCCCAGGTTGAGCCCCAAACTCTCCATTTCTTCTGTTGACCCAGATCTTCCTGACTTCCCCTGCTCTGACAGGGTTTACTGATTTATCATTGCTGCTGTTTGTTTTGGTTTGGTTCTCTTTCTTAAATGCTACAGCAGTTCCTTACATTTACCTTTTTATACAACCATAGCCTCTTCAGATTTTTCCAGATACTGGGACTATCATCTAGAACTTTCACTGCCCCTGACAGACTTACACTACCACACATATCCAATGTCTTAGTTGAAGTCACTCCTAAATATCGCATCAAGTTGAAATCGATACCATGAGTGGTCTGAATGCAAGTAAAGCAGCTGGGTACCATTTTAATAATTGAGCTGGTTCCCCTTGGACCTGACTCTGTTCGACCAGTCTTATGTAAGGTACCATTCCTTTGATTAAAAGAAGTTGAAAGGAAATATGCATATACATGGAAATTTAAATTTTTCCCTTTATCTATTCAAAATATTACCCTTCTAAACAGGCTATAAATATGTATCAGTCAAGGGTCTGTAATACATAAAACCAAGAAAAGTGAAAGATTTAAGCAATAGCTCACATGGTTGTAGAGACTTGGTAAAGCTAAACTCTTCAAGGTTTGCTGGCAATCTTGAGATCTGGGAATTTTTTAGTTAAATTCCACAAGTCTACTTGCAGAATTTCTCTTGCTCAGCAGAGATCGGTCTTCATTTTCTTTTTTTTTTTTTTTTCTTTTCTCTATAGGTCAGGACTGCGTGTTTGGTTTGGGTTTTGTTTGTTTTCAGATGCCTCAGATTGGATTAGGGATTTTTGTTTGTTTTATGGCTTTTAAGATTTTTTGTTAATTTTTGAGATTATATTTTAATGAAGACACTCCTCCCTTCTCTTTCTTCCCTCCAAATCCTCCCATCCCCAGTCTCCTCATGTTAGCTGTATGATGTTTTGGAGCTGTTTGGCACTGAACAATCTCTTAGTCTGATCTTCCCAGGGAGAGCCACCTCTTCCACTTTCAGCTATACTCAGTCTCCTGTAGTTCTTTGTGTAGGATTGAGGGCTCCTGGAATTGTTTCCCAGGCAGTTTGGTGTGTTGGCTGATGTGCTTCTTGTTCAGCCTATGTTTGAGTGGTCATGTTGGTGAGGCATTGCAGGTGCAGCTTCTGATGTTTCTCAGAGACATAATCTTACAGAAATGTCCCCAATGCTCTGGCTCTTATAATATTTCTATACACATCTTCTATAATATTCTCTGTATTTTGTAAATGAATACATTGAGACTGTGCTCTGCAGTTCTGCATATTAATTGGTTGTAATTCATTTCTGTAATGATCTTTCTATTTCAAAAAGAATTTCCTTGATGAAGGGTGAAGACTAAAGTTACGTGTTGGCCTAGGAACACATGTTTATATATTTAGTTAGGTTTTATGCTGGCTTAGTAAATTAGCAATGGTCAATTCTTCTTCAATAACTATAATTTAACTAGGATTGATTAGTTAGCTAGGTTTCCAATGCCAGACATGGTCTTCTCCTCCTTTTTTTGAGTGGGTCTTAAGTCCAATTAGAGAGTCATTGGTTATCACTAAGGTGTGTGTGCCACTACTATGCCTAGAGGGATGTCTTGCCATGTTGGTCATTGTTGTGGTTCATAAATACTGTATCTAAGACTGGTCGTTGTGTTTCTCCTTTACAAGCTTGTGCCGCACCTTCTAGGTACCATGCTAGGGAAGGGAAATTCAGGGCAGTTCCAGCTCAGAGCCCTCTGGGCCATGTTTCTGAAGTTCATGGTGTCTTTAACAATAGGATCCTCCTTCCACCTCTGCAAGTAACTAAGGGCAACAGCAATAGGCTGTATGTTTTGGGGATCTCTTAGATAGCTCTGACCAACAACTCAAAAGAAGGCTTCTTGTGCCTAGTACTGGGGTTTTAGTTAAGTGTTCTTCATTTTCTTAACATCAACTGATTAGCTGAGGCCTAACAGCAATATGAAGGGTAATAGATTTTGCTCAGTATTCACTGATTTTAAGTTTCAACATAATGCAAAAACAAAAAACATCTTCATAGAAACATCCACATATGCAAATATCTGGCACCGTGTTTGAGATAACATAACATGGTCCATATACCACATAAACCATGAAGCTATCCGTAGCCTCTTAAAATAATTTTTGCAAACAAACAATTGGTAAAAGTATATTTTTATGAAGCCTAGACTTATGTTTTGATAGTTAAATTATTTTCTAATATACAATCTGCTATGTGAATCTGGAGCTATTTATATGTTCTCAAGACTTGTCATAGTGAAATGCAATAGAACCAGTTAATTGTTTTACTATGGGTAGTGATGGGAAGTGAAAATGCAACACTAATTTTAAGACTAACCCTGTTGCAAGTATCAGAATCTACATTCTACATGCAGCAGGAGAAGATTTGTATTTCATCATTGATGTCACTATTTTGAAAACTTCACCTTCACTATTTCAGTTTTTAAATTCTAGTAATATATTTTTCAGTGTTTTGACAATATTATCAAAAACAAATATCCATACAAAGAAGATAACTAAGCAGTAAATTCTGTTTCAAGAAAATAATTGTGATGAGAATTTTTTAAGATGAAAGAATTGCCAGTACAGTATCTGTAGAAATAATTTTGGGGAACTAGTTTTTGGTTCTACATACTTCTGAATCTAGATTTTAATTTTTTTATTAACCACCTATGACAAAAATTATTCAGTTGAGGCAGATATGTCGAAGGCTGAAGAGGTAGCTCCGTGCTTAAGAAAGTCGCTGCTCTGCCAGAGAACCCAAGTTCAATTCCTGTCCTCCACAGCCCGCAGTCTATAACCACCTGCAGCTCCAGTTCCAGGGGATGGAACATGATCATCTGGCCTCCACAGATACTCACATTTACCTATGTTCACACACACACACACACACACACACACACACACCTTGATACACATACTTTCATAGTAAAAGCTTAAAAAGAAAATTTGTAAATTTTTCGTAAATTCTATTCATTCCTCTTTGGAGAAACTTACCCTTAAATTTTCGTTTACCTTCTCCTTTTTAGGTTTGGATGTGTGGAGGAGAAATGTTTGACGTTCCGTGTTCTAGAGTCGGTCATATCTACAGGAAGTACGTCCCGTATAAAGTTCCATCTGGGACCAGCCTGGCAAGAGTGAGTAACTGGGCATTAGAACAGTCTGGGTTCATACAAGCTCTGCTTCTCGCAGGCTGGGTAATCAACCACACACGTGGGATAAAGTAAGACACTGTCTGCCAGAAACTCGTGTGTGGCGAGACTTCCCGTGCCTCTGCTCTGTCTCCATTGCTTAAAGGACGATCAACTGTGATGGGATTTTTATGTATCACAGCATCTTCACATGCATTATATTTAATATAAACCGTTATCTTCTGTTAATCCTTGTCATCTGTGCTAAGTATCAGTTGGATCAGCTCTTAGTCCCGGCTATACAGCGTCACCTGCAGGTTTCAAAACCAAGAGGAAACAGAGAGGTGACTTGCTCGTGAACTAATGAATGACCAACAGCAGTAGTGTAAAACCAGGCCTGCAGGATGGATGAACAGAGAGAGAGAGAGAGAGAGAGAGAGAGAGAGAGAGAGAGAGAG